GACATATGAGATCATGTATTAATTCAAACTTTCGAATTTTCAGTCTAAACAAACTATGGCACCGATTTCAATAATATCGTCGCAATGTATCGCCGTAACTGGAATATAGTTAGTAATGTATTTCTGTTTGTTTTGTTTGTAATTGGAAGACAAACCATATAAAACATTAACCCAATCCTCTTTACCTTGGAAAACCGGGAATGGAGATATCGGTAAAAAATTGCTGGAGCCAGACCAAATGCTTTTTTTGCAAAATTTAATAAAGTTAGCTATATCGATGTGTAAGATGAAAATTGTCAGCGGAAAACTATTGGAATCTATGAAATATAGCTGCAAATCAACTGCTTAACAAATTTAATATACAATAGTGCGTTATACGCCACGATTGGGGATTTAGATAAAATAAAATTATAATTTGTGCAATGGTAGGAACTATTTATCTAATCATGCACATGTTTAAACTAGAATTTAATGAAGCTATACAAATATTTGAAAACTTTTTGACACTTTCCGACAAATAAGTAAGTACTTTTATAGGATTGGGTCGTGAGTGTTGTTGCATGCTGTTTAATGGACATCTGACATTTAATTATAATCAAGGAATTTTACATATGAAACTTAAAATCTACATGCTGATTTAATTAAGTTATTTGTTGCGAAATTTCCTCGTCAAAAGTAAATGTCATTTTTAAATTCATGATTGATGGCATTTTAATTGTTTCTCAGATAATGATGACTTGGAAATTCCCGGGACATTGATTTGAATGAATTGAGAGAAAAAAATTAAAGGACATAAACACCCTTATACATCCAGTTTATTACAAAAACGTGATTGCAAGTCATGGAAATAATTGTCGTCAATGACCTAAAAAATTCACTCTACTAACATACCATCTCTTTCATTAGAAGACGTACACGTACGTCCAACAAGGGATATTTCAGGATTACATTTATATGCAACCTTTTGCTACATATGTGTTTGTTTCTTTTAGATCTCTTTTCTATTTGAATACACAATAATCATTGATGATTATGCATTGTGAGCTTTAGTTGTTTGTTCATTATTGTTCTATATTTTGTGATATTGGTGCATGTTTACTTATCACAAATCTTTTCCTTGAACATTTCACAGAAGAATAATAATCTTGCAGACCATTTGAAGTGTAGTTGTCAATCTTAATTATTATTTAAGTGATGTATTTATTTGCATTATTTGACAACCCGGCATACCAATGTATCCACTTCATGGACTCTACCGAAAGGATTCACACAGGCGTTGGTTCACCAGACGGAGTTTAATTTCACAGAAGAATATAAAAAATGATTAGGGAACAACCATTTAACTTCAAAAGTGTGGGGGGGGGTATGGTTTTTTCCTAAAAAAATATTCTGATCCCCAATTTGATGAAAAAAAATATTGTGGTCAAGCAGATGACAAAAAAAAACCAGATTTTCCCCATACCTTATAGTGTTTAATTTTGAAAAAAATTAATTTGATTGATAGCGTCGAAAAACTAAAAATGTTTGCAAGAAAAAAAATTTCTGACTCAGACAAAAAACCATAACCCCCTTGAAGTTAAATGGTTGCGTTGCTCCCTTACGCCCATGTTACTAGAGGCTACTCACCAATTAGCTTCTTTGATATTGATGCAGATATTGTTTATTATAGTTTTGCTTGTTCCTGTGTGTTTTGTTATCTTTTATACAGCCTAGTGATGTTACTTAATGAATTTTACATTATGTTCTTATTATGTACCACTGATGGAAATTAAAAGCAAAAAGGCCAGTTGAAACAAAAAAAAACTTTGAACAGCCCATCACATGTTCATGAACCTGTCCTTAGTCGAGAACCTGTCAGTGGATGTCTTTAATCAATTTGTATGTTGTTATCAAATTTTTGATAGTCTATGTAAACTGTTTTAGACTGCCGGCATTTAGAGATTGATATATTGTCTAAGCATTTGTCTATTGATGAATATCTGGATTTTTTTTGTCTTCGGGTTGGTGTCTCATCATTAAAGTATCCGCATATCTCCTTTCATGCATACACTTGCTAAACATTTTGTATGGCAATATTGTTACCAAATACGTAAATTTTAATTTTAGTTCATATGGGGAGATAACTCAGATAATTTAGTTTTATTAAAGATTGATTTTTTTCATATCCATGATGATTTACTTTCAGAAACAATTTTGAGTGTTATTGTTTGTTTTGAATTTGGATTATATTGTATTTGTGTTCTTGTGTACATTGTGGGTTTGTAAGCTACTTATGGTTCTCTGTTTCCTTTGCCTATGTTTAGCAGGTATGACAAGATTCTCTACAAATCAATGAAATATTTGATTGTATTGAAGGGATCAAATAGCAACTCTCATCATATTTGTTTAACATATTTTTTGGACAGATTGGTATATACCTCGCCAACATTCTTTATATGCCTGTTCCAAGTCGGGAGCCTGTAATTCAGCAGTTGTCGTTTGTTGCTGTACATCATATTTGTTTTTCGTTTATTTTTTATACATAAATCAGACCATTAATTTTCTTGCACATGTCATTTGGGGGCCTTTTATAGCTTACTGTGTGTTATGGGTTTTCATTGTTGAATGCCATATGGTGACTTATAGTTGCTTACTTCTACATCATTTTGGTCTCTAGTGGAGAGTTGTGTTTTCATTGACAATTACTGTAAATTCAGAAATTATTGCATGCATTTATTATTGCGATTTTGTCATTTTAGACTAAAATGCTTTTTTAATTTTTGCCATATTGAGAAAAATCCTGTTTAATTCATAATAATTTAATTTTGGATGTAACACGTCTTCTGATTGGCTGAAAGTGTTTTGTCTATCAGCTATTAGACATAATTTTGTCATGTGACCGTGACGTCACCAACATTTTTTTCAAAATTTACTCCTTAAAAATGGACTTTATAATTAAATTATAAGGAATGACTGTGATATTTTTTCTGTCTATTCGAAATAACCTAAAAAATGTGCACACTTTAAAATAACCCACTACGCGGGTTATTCAGCGTGCACCACATTTTTGATGTTATTTCTTCATAGACAGAAAAAATATTACAGTCATTCCTTAATGAAAATTTCAAAATGCGAGTTTAAATTATTGCGATTATAACCCTGTCGCATTTTTCGCAATAATAAAAACATCGCAATAATTTCTGAATTTACATTATACCTCATCTTATATTGATACTTGCAAACATCAAAAAAGAAGAAATTATGTAGAAATGTTGCTTGATAATGAATAGTTTTTATGCTCCACAACCAATTTATCTTCCAATCCTTGAACTGAGTGCCAACTTTTAACTAAACTTCATACCAACTATAACTGACTTATATTCTTTTGTTACTGAGTACCTGAAGACCTCAATCTTTCAAAAAGTCAATTACTGGGACATGAAATAAAGGTCAATGCCATGTGACAGATACTCCTTGCAACAAAACCATATTCCATGTAAAACCCTTGCCAAAGTGGGACGTCTGTTTGATTGTGCAGGATGTATAAATACTGGTCACAATGGGGGTGGTAGATCTGATGCCTCGTGCAGAGTGTGCCACATTTCTGCACATAAAGAACCCTTTGTTGCAACAACTATTTTAGGTGGCCTGTTGTAAGGGTAAATTTCAGGCCTTATCTAATTTACCCTAATTTTCCAGTGGCAGTCCAAATTTCCAGCCCTTCATCCCGATCAACCCTATTTATGGAACCTACCTTCTGTATGTATTGTTAATTTGTTCTCGTCCTGAACATGCATCAAATATTTGCAACTGGATGTTAAGCAACCAACAATCAATCAATCATTAACTATACATGCTTCTTGCAAACAATGTACTGACCAAATACTGTTGTATCATTACTAAGGAACATGCAGACCTGATCCTGAAGACTTAACCTGATCACTTGAGCATGAATTGAGGTCAAAGTTATAAGACAACTAAATATGTCAGACATATATAATCTCACAACAAATCCAAATATAAAATATTGTTGACCTTATGACATAAGTTACTTGGAGCAGACTTAATTATGAAAACTTAACCAGGCTACAGGAAAATAAGGTCAATACCATGGAAAAAACTAAAAATATTTGTTATATGATTTGCATATCTTCAAATTATTGACCTGGATTGGTCTGTTAGAATGTTTTCCCTGAGTTTACACTTGGATAAACCATGTTTCCGAAACAAATTTCCTAACCTATGTTAAGAAAATGCTGATTTAGCTGTGATCTATTCATTGGCAATACACATGCATGGGATCCTGGGGTTTCAATCAAATTGAGATTGAATTACAAAAAAAAGCAAACTACAGAACTGTTATTCCTATTCTAATTCATAACAAAAAGAAATAATGCATTAGAGATCGGTAAATTATATTCCTTTTCTTGTATGCTTCAAATTCAGACAATATCTCATTTCAATGGATTTCAGCAAGTCAATATGGCATAATTATTGGAGAAGACGTTACTAAGTTGAAAAACTTGTGTCTAATCCATTTGTCATTTTTGAACAATAAAATATGTTTAAACTAAACTAATATGGCAACTAACTCCTTAGTCAGGACATGTCAGTCGTGGATTTGAATGTAAATAGTAGCCAATGAAAAAAAAAAATTGTTAATTAAAAATTTCAAATGTTTGGGTCAAGAATTTTAAGGATTAAACACATTTTCTCGAGGGGTTATTAACATGTAAACTGCAGCTACTAACCCGAAAACTGAATAAAGTCAGAATAATATTAGTCATAATAACAGATAAAAAGTTATTTCATTATAACAACTTTTAGACTTTTAAAATGCACAAATTCCACCAATCAATAGACTTCTTGACAGTAAAAAGAAATAAACTGTCTTCTTAAATAAATCAACAAATACCAAAACAGTTAAGATGAAGAAATAAGGAAAAGAAAGACAGAATTGTTAGCATGTTGCATTTGGTATTTCAACAGCTTCATCCAAAAGGTATTATATAAAGACAAACTATAAACTATATAATTTATCATATTCATAATAACAAATTTACAATTCTATTTGTATATCACAGAACTTTAAAGTCACAATATCAAAAACTTCATTTAAATTTACAAAGATGTTTTTTTCCAGGTCTCTGTCATTTTCTTTTATTTCTTTATGATACAGTAATGGAAGGAACTTCAGGTTTAAATCTGTGAGCAGCCTGAGGAGGAAGTCTCTTCCATATTCTGCCACTATTGTCCTGTATTTTGCTTTGTCTCTCAGTTTCTTTATTCCTATGGAGAATCTGTTGGATGCAGTATTCAGCCTCTTGCCCACAGTCTGTAATACGAAGATCCATGTGTGTGACGGTTGTGTTTACTTCCATACCTTCTTGGATCTGTTTTCCACCCTCCTAAAAAACAGTACAAAAAATAAGTTATATGTAATCATTGCCAGTTGACGAGTTGATATTTATTATAGTATCTTAATTCTTTGAATTATTACACATGTGTACTTCCATTTCACAATATACCAATATCACTTTTTCCACCATTTTTTTTTTAACTTTTTGTACAGTTTTGTAACAAATAAAAAGAATGAGTTATCTCCCCAATATTACTTTGGAGCTGTTTTGCATTTTTTCTTTCTTTATTTTTCCTTTCTGGCTGTACAAATTTTCTATAAATTTTGATGGACAGTTCAATATCATTTCAAATGGCTTTTTTTCAATTACATATGTGCAAGTGTTAAGATTTTATAAAAAGAGAAGACGTAATAAACTCAAGAGTGCACACGCTGAAATGTCTCGCCTGCTTTACTGACCATTGATTTTATGTTGAAAGTCTTAAAGATAAAGGTTTTACTAAAAGCATTTCAGAAACTTAACATTTTTAAAGATCTAGGACAATGAGGTCAAGGTCAGATAAATCATGTCAGACAGACATATACATCTTACAATTTTGTATACACCAAATATAGTTGACCTATTGTGTATGCTAATTGAAACCAGACCAAAACACAAAAACTTAACATTGACCAATGAACCATGAAAATGAGGTCAAGGTAAGAATATACCTGCCAGACAGACATGTGCACCTTACAATTATTCCATACACCAAATATAGCTGACCTATTTCTATTGGTACTTGAAAAACAGACAAAAACACAAAAACTTAACATTGACCAATGAACCACGAAAATGAGGTCAAGGTCAGATGATACCTGCCAAACAGACATCATGTACAACTTACAATCATTCCATACACTAAATATATTTTACTTATTGATTATAGTACTTGAAAAATAGACAAAAACACAAAAACTGAACATTGACAAATGAACCGTGAAAATGAGGTCAAGGTCAGATGAAATCTGCCAGACTGACATGTATCCATTACAATCATTCCATACACCAAATATAGTTGACCTACTGCTATTAGTATTTGAGAAATGGACCTTATCATGTAACTTATCGATGAAATGAGGTCGAGATCAGGTGAAATCTGTCTGACAGACATGTAGGCATTGCAAGGAACCCATACATGTATACCAAATATACATGTAGTTATCCTATTACTCATAATAAGTGAGAAACTCACATGACAAAAAAAACCTCGAATTTTGTTTCAAGCAGTCGTTGAACCATGAAAATGAGGTCAAGGACAATGGACATATGATTGAGGGAAACATAAGGTATCTATCTGCATACAAGATATGAAGCATCCAGGTTCTTCTACCTTCTGAAATATAAAGCTTTATACAAATAGTTTCATCGCTGGATAGTAATACCTATGTCTTGCATACTGTGACGAAAGGTGAGACAAAATATGCATTTGTGTGAATGTACAATAAATTCTCTTAATGCAAAATTTAACATTATTGAACTTACAGGACCAAGTTTATTGCATGACAAATCCATTGACTTGAGTGTTGTATTCTGCATAATAACTTCCTGAAGGAAAGGGGCTGTTGCTTCCCCAAACTCATTACTACCTAGATTGATTTTCTGTAATGTTGAGTTTCTCTGTAAAGCTCTGGAAATTGCAGATGCCCCTTCATCTCCTAATCTATTCAATCTAAGGTTGAGGTTTTGTAATGTTGTGTTTTTGGTCAGGGCATGGGCAATAGCCTGAGCCCCTAGCACTTTAATGTCATTGTCACATAAATTCAGGCTTACTAGCTGACTACGATTGTTCAAGAATTTCCCAATGGCCCTTGCTCCTCGATCGCTTATTGTATTGTGGGATAGATCCAGAGTTATCAGACTTGGATGGTCTAGGATATGACTAATCAGTACTCTTGTTTTGTCATCATCTAATGTGCTTCTACTAAGATGGAACACTTTAAGATGTTTACAAGCAGCAACACATTGAGCAAGTTGTAAACAGTCTCTAGCAGTGAATTTAAACAAGTTCCATTCAAAGTTCATACCACAATCACTGACACCATATGTAAGATGCAATTCTTCCAAATTTGTCAGACATTTTAATACTGGAGCAAAGTTGAAATGATCACACTCTGGTTCATCACCAGCATCACTGCCAGCATCTGATGCATCATCAAAATCAGGACCTTTTGGGGCTTCTCTTACAGGGGGAAGTAACTGTTGGACATCTAACTTTTTGACATAGTTGGCAGACAATGGCAGAGTTTGATTTAATTCATTTGGATCTGTTGTCTCTGGTACAAAATTTTCTACGATTTGTTGGAGGTTTCTCTCGAAATACATTCTTTTCCAGTTGCTACCATACTGGGACACATCACAAATTTCCCATCTTGCTTTGCAGCATCTCTTCCAGTAATCTTCTTCCTGTACCAGATTAGCAGTTATCTTCAAAGGTATGTCAGTGGAGATTTTGTCCAACACTTTAGACTTGTACCTTAGTGGAAGGTCATTCAGAATTGTAGAGTTATCTGAAATAATGGAAATTAGTTAAACTTTCTTGTGATAATATATGCAAAATATATTACAAAAATATTTCAAATAGTTTTAATGTATACATGTTTCTATAAGTGTTGTGTAAGATTTAGAGTAAATGAAATATCCTGTTTAGATCACTGTAACATATATCCATAACTAAGGGAGATAACTCATGATTTTCATGGGAAGCTTTTACTAATTGCTTACCTAATGTCCAGTTACTCCAGTATCCAGTATTTAATATATATATGTATCTATGACAACCGAAAAGATCAATTAATATAAAAGTAGCATTTTTCTCAATAAATTACCAGTAATATTATACAATTATAGCCTTTGAATGCGGTTGATAAGAGGTATTATCAACCTAAGAGATGCATATTGACTGAGGACGAAGTCCGAGGTCGATATAACATTGTATTGACCTCAACAAAAGGCTACAATTGTTATATTATTAATCAACAACTATTGCATGAACAATGTAAAATTGGGGATTTCTAGAATGTATTTTTGTAACATGCTGTATGCCCTGTGCAATATGCTGTTTTTAACCTACAAAAAGCTGAATACAACAGTATTGGCGTGCAAACTGAGTAAATGCAAATGTGCATGTGATCAAGTTTTAACGAATCACAAATCATTAAAGATATTCAATAAATAATATATAAAAATAAGGAATGTAGAATGATAACCAATGAGACATTCCACCAGAGACCAAAGGAAAGGGTGTAAACAAATACAGATCACCATACGACCTTCCTCAATGAGCAAAACCAAAACCAAGACCGTATAGAAAGCTATAAAAAGCAAAAATAAGCAGTATTTGATCTTTGAAATTTTTTTTTTTCATTTTTATTTTAAAGAAAAAGGGTTCTGATAATAAGATTATATCATATTGAAGTAAGACATTTTCATATAACTATTTGGAAAATGAATGTGATAAAACTATTTACTTACTTTCAAAATGTGTAACTATATGTTTGATACATAGATCAACCAGTAATGGGACAGTAGCCAATGAATATGCTGGATCTTCTGCTATGATTCTCCTCATCTGTCTCCAGTCAGCTGCAGGATTATCTCCCCTTGCAGATCCAGCAGGAGTTGCTGCCATAGCTGGCCTACCACTACTTTTCCCACTCTTTCCTGATTGAGCAGACCCAGCTCTAGATGGTTGTTTAGAACCAGGCTGACTTTTGGGTCCACTCTTAATACTTTTGGCATCCTCATCAATTTTATCTTCCCCTGATACATCTGTTACTGCTGGATCAGACATTTTGGCTTTAAAAGAATAAATCATTGTAGTTAAGTTTTCAGTAAAAAAATAACTGTCTATAGTTTTAAAAATTGTGTCTGTTAGACTGTTAGTCCTAACTTAAACTGGAGCAAGGGGTATATTTGTTAGGTTTATATTATGATTTTCCCATTATGTTCATTTTACACGATCTGTAGTAAATTTTCTAGCAAAAACAATGGCCTTACAGAATGAGATACCACTTTAATTTGTTTTTGTTAGCATTGAAAGCCCCCCAAACATATCCATATTAAAGTTAATTCAAGCACTTAGTAGTATAACTGAAGAGGAGTTACAGAAGAGGAACAATCCACTGCAAATAATTGCCCTAGAATTTTATTTTAATGAAAAACATAATTACATGTAGTTTATTTTGAAGTTCTTGGCTTTGACATGTGGCAGCTTATTCAAAAGTTGTGTCACCAATTAGTTCTCACTAAAATGTCATTTTAAAAGTCAATAATCACACTTAATTAAATTACAGATTTTACATCATTCACAGAAAATACATGTTATTAAAGCCTTATTCGTGTATGTGCTAACCATTTTTCTTGTAGTGAGTCTGTTCTACCTTAATTTTCTAAATAGTCTTTTAAGACTAATTTGTTGATCAAAATGTGCAGGCAAAACTCAAGTTTGACCAATTTTGATTTCAATATTTAACAGTTTTCTCCCTAAACATTCAGTCATTCATGATTTTATTTGTGTACAATTGCCAAGATACAGTGTATAAGTATTGCTATGACGAATTCATACAAAAAATTTAAAGACTCTCACATGTAAAACCATAGAAGTATAAAGGATGGAAAAATTTTGGTGACATCCATAAGAAGGTCATTTTATTAAAGACATCATCTATAAGGTTTTCAATTACTACAATTTAGTAAGGATCTAATTGTCTTGCATGTACAATGTACCCCATGTTTGTATTTGGCGAGTCAAATGACAAAATCAATCGGTTAGCTCTCCAAAATGGCCACCTACATGTAATTATATAAATGGAAAAACTATCTATAGAGAAAATATAACTTTAGAAAAATTATACAACTGTCCATGTAGTATGCAGATTACATTATGGTTTTACAAATCCAATGCAGTCGGGGAGTAACAATACAGTTATCCTAGCTAACCAATTAAAAATAATCACATCTCTTCTCTTATGATACATGTAAGTGTCTTGAAACAAAAGGTAGAGTTACTTACAGAAAGATTGTATAATACATATATATCCTAATCCATATATAATGGGATTTGGAGTTCAGGTGTGTTTTTCTGATTTGACTTGACAGGGGAAGATTGATGGAGGATTGCTCTGCTAGACAAAATAAAATTTGAACAGTATCGAGGACAAATGTGGGAGATCATTGAAATTCAACTGTTCTATCAAACACAAAAACATGCTTTTTATTTTGCTGTTATAAATGTGAGTACCAGTTATTTCTATCATTCAAAATGTGTGATGCTTTATTATTTGATTTTTGACCTTACTATAATATTGTACTGTTTCTATCCAATACTCTAAAAACCTGTACTGTAAAGTTACAAAGTCTAATTAATAGCAACAACATTGAAACTTTATAACACAACACATAAATGATAATCAACTGTACTTTTTTATGAATCTATTTGTTTTAATATAATATCACTTTTTTTGTTACCAAATTTTACTTCTTGAGACTTCTTGATGTGAATAAGTGAGACGGTGAATTTAATGGACGGCAGCCATCATACATGTACAAATGTACATGTAGTTATAGCAAATTTTGATACTTGTTATATGGCAAGAACTAGTTATTGCTTAAGGTAAAGCAATAGATCATTGTCTGTCCACAGCTGAATGTCCTAGCAGATGGTGGGAATTGGAAGTCAAGACAGTTAGAGGACACCAAGAACAACTCCTCATTCCTTTTGCCAGGACTCATGTATATCGTGGCTCGTTTTCCCAGACACCATCAGAATCTGGAATGGACTGCCACAACAACTAGTGAGTTGCACAACCCTTGAATCATTAAAAAGGGGTTTGCAAGAGGTCCAGTATCAATTAATGTTTAACCTGTTTTTTATTTTAGTTTTAACATTATTTCTAAGAAGCACAGTTTCACTGTACATAGATAATTTGCACATATTGGCACAATTGTTCAATGTTCTCACATCGAACATGCACATGAAACAGTACGATACTACTTCCATGGGATTGATTGATTGATTGTTGGTTGCTTAACGTCCAGTGGCAAATATTGAATGCATGTTCAGGACGAGAACAAATTAACAATAAATACAATAGAACAGGTAGGTCTTGTAATTCAGGCCGTCCGGGATAAGGTCAGGGAAGTTTCTACTGCCACTGGAAAATGAGGGTAAATTGGATAGGGAAAGAAATTTGGCCTTGCAACAGGCCACCTACGGATTTAACGTTCATATTCTGACTGGACATGGCTGCATACTTGATACATCCCGCACAGCCAAACGGACGCCCCACTTTGGCAAGGGTTTTACTGCCAGTCGGGAGAAGACCTGTAGTGAACATATTTCTATTCCTTAGTCACCCTTGGGGGGACTTCCATGGGAGGACTGTAGTTTACTATAAAGAAAGAAGAAGAAGAAGGAGGAGGATCATATCCCCCGTCTTGACAGTACCGTCAGTAGCAACAAAATGCTGACACTGTGCTGTCAAGCCCGAAGGTTTTTGATAATTTTTACTGTTTCTCTGATAAGTTTACACAACACAATTTTAGAAAAACATCAAGGATATGTGATTTCGTCTTAATTTTGGTATTTAAGAGACGCAGAAGACTTAAAATTGAATAGTATTTACCCTGCAGTATGATCTCCAGATAGCTTCTTGTTACTATGACAATCAGGAAGTAGAATTCAAAGCGATTTCCGTTTCCGGTCATTAAAAAAATGGCTGCGCCCATCTAGCTTTATTTTGCTGACAAGCACAAGATTTGGACACAGATTTTCCCAATTTCGTTTGATTATCATTCAAATTTATCGCGGTATATCGAAGATCCTGTAAACTGGATACAAGGTTTGGACACAGATTTTCCCAATTTCGTTTGATTATCATTCAAAGTTATCGCGGTATATCGAAGATCCTGTAAACTGGATAATAAATAATGCACTTATTTCAGAGCGTCTTTCTCCAGATTTAATAGTCAGATAATTTGTATTGACATTGCATAAATTATATGTTTTGTTTGTTTTTCTTTGAAGAGATACAAAATCTTTTATGGATTTTGATGTGCAATTTTTTGTACGTGAGAGGGGGCATCTACTTCTTACATATAGTAGTTGAATTCATTGAGGAGTACTCAGTACTTAGTGTGACTGCGTGTGTGTGTAGGTGCTGGTTAAATACTAAATGCCTATTTACAATGAATAAAATACAAAAGTAAAAAATATGGTGCAAGCTGTACAGGTGGTGCAGGATAAAAAGATTCCATCATGTACGCAATCAGTGTCTTGAAAGCTTCAGAGTGGGAGCTTTCAGTGGTGAGTCCCGTAGTTTATTCCAGATTGTTATTGTTTTTGGAAAGAATGAGTACTTGAAATAGTCGTTTCTTGGGCTGTAGATGGTGTATGTCATGGAATTGTAGTGTCTTAATAGTCTGTTTAGTGGGATCAGGCAGTTATCTGTTGGAATTGCTACAAGTCCATTTATAATTTTGTATAGTAACCATAATCTGATGTTAACTCTTTGTTGGTATAGAGGTATCCAGTTAAGCCTGTTTATCATGTTGGTGACACTTGGTTCATTGCTGTAATCATTGTAGACATATCGAGCTGCTCTTCTCTGTGCTCGCTCTATTTTGTCAATATTATTCTGGTTGTAGGGACTCCATATTGCTGCAATATATTCCACTCTCGGTCTTACAAGTGCATTAACAGCATTGATCTTTGTTTGCTGTGTAGCTTTTTTTTAATGTTTGGTGGTGCGCCTGACAGAGACGGAACTTACAGATTAGATGAAGATGAAGATGTTTCTACTGAGCATCTCTTGTGCTTGGTTTGCACTAGCTACAATGTTGTTAATGTGTAGGTTCCAGCTTAGGTCATCTTTGATGGTAATTCCTAAGTATTTTGTGTCCGTTACTACCTCTAGTTGTTTACCATGCATGTCATACATGTACATAGTTGCCAAGTGACATGATATTCGCGTGTAATACACGTTTTTTCAACGGTTTACCCGCGAGGATTTTGTCACATTGCGTGTACATGCTTTTCACCACTTTATACACAATTACACGCTTTTTCATTGTTTTGATTTTTTAGTCGTTAGTGATATCGCGAATCTCAGGTTTTTGTCGAGCCTGCGACTTTTGTCGCAGAAAGCTCGACATAGGGATAGCGATGCGGCGGCGGCGTTAGCTTACTTCTTAAAAGCTTTATATTTTAGAAGATGGAAGACCTGGATGCTTCATACTTTGTATATGGATGCCTCATGTTACGAAGTTTCCGTCAGTCACATGTCCAATGTCCTTGACCTCATTTTCATGGTTCAGTGACTACTTGAAAAAAAAGTTCAGATTTTTTGTAATGTTAAATTCTCTCTTATTATAAGTAATAGGATAACTATATTTGGTATGTGCGTACCTTGCAAGGTCCTCATGCCCGTCAGACAGTTTTCACTTGACCTCGACCTCATTTCATGGATCAGTGAACAAGGTTAAGTTTTCGTGGTCAAGTCCATATCTGAGATACTATAAGCAATAGGTCTAGTATATTCGGTGTATGGAAGGACTGTAAGGTGTACATGTCCAACTGGCAGGTGTCATCTGACCTTGACCTCATTTTCATGGTTCAGTGGTTATAGTTTAGTTTTTGTGTTTTGGTCTGTTTTTCTTATACTGTATGCAATAGGTCTACTATATTTGGTGTATGGAATGATTGTAAGGTGTACATGTCTAGCTGGCAGGTGTCATCTGACCTTGACCTCATTTTCATGGTTCAGTGGTCAAAGTTAAGTTTTTGAGTTTTGGTCTTTTTTTCTAATACTGCATGCAATAGGTCAGCTATATTTGGCGTATGGAATGATTGTAAGGTGTACATGTCTAGCTGGCAGGTGTCATCTTACCTTGACCTCATTTTCATGGTTCAATGGTCAAAGTTAAGTTTTTGAGTTTTGGTCTTTTTTTCTAATACTATATGCAATAGTTCAACTATATTTGGTGTATGGAAATATTTTATGATCTATATGTCAGTCACGCAGGTTTTATTTGACCTTGACCTCATTTTCAAGGTTCATTGCTCAGTGTTAAGTTTTTGTGTTTTCGTCTGTTTTTCTTAAACTATAAGCAATAGGTCAACTATATTTGTTGTATGGAAGAATTGTTAGCTGTACATGCCTGCCTAGCATGGTTCATCTGACCTTGACCTCATTTTCATGGTTCATTGGTCAATGTTTAGTTTACTTGGTTAATGTTAAGTTTATGTGACAGTTGTAATAAAGCTTTATATTTAGGACTATCAACATAATATCAATGATTAGTAAAGAAGGCGAGACATTTCAGCGTGTGCACTCTTGTTTCATTACTTGACAATAAATACCGAAAATTTCAAAACAATTGTTTGACGCCATTGATTATTTTCGTATGGACTAACAGCAAAAGCCCTTAAGGTGAGTAGTTTGTGATTAGTTTTTACGATTTTGAAAGATTTTCCTTCTTTCAAATTCACTTCAGGGAAGTGTCCACAGAAAGAGATCGCTTTCAGGACCTGTACTGTCGTCTAAAGGAAAGAGTCGATTGCTAAGGGAAAACGATGTGTACGTACCAAGATAATTTCAAGATTTATAAATTATATTTGGGAGTTCGAGTTTAAATGATCGACGGACGAGTAACGCATAATGTGCACCCTATGTTGCAATCATAACAATACATGTGAGAGGAGAACTACAATGTAGCTATTTGATTAAGCATTTAACATGTTGAATGGTAATCAAATTATAAAATATTTTTCTTTTGCAGTTTCAAATCTGGCCAACAGATTTCCACAGGCCATAGGGGATGGAAATATCACGGAACTGTTGGATTAGTTCTCATAGTACCAGCTGTCTTCTGATGAACTTCCCAGTTTTGACCAGGCAATAGCAACATATATAGTTTGTTTGGAGCAATGGCAGAGATAATAGATGACATTTTAGATGGCAAAAAACGTTATGACACTCTTTCAAAGCTTGATAAAGCTATTATATATATATAAAGTTCAACCAAATATTAATTCTGACTGTGAGAGAGCATTTTCAATTATAAAGAAATGTACGGGTACACTGAATTCTGATCAGAACTTGACAATGATATATTGTGTGCCTTGTTATCAAGTAAATGTAACCAAACTGGCAATTGTTTAGGATATGTGCCTAGTGGTGTTGCTTTAAAAGCAGCAAAACAGACCACTGTTGAAAACAATAAAAGTTTACAGTAGAATATTGTTTTTTATATTAACAAATTTGTATAATGTGAAAAAGTCGGCATCTACAATGTACGTCACGCGTTTTCACACACTTTTTGACATGTCATGTCATGACATGATTTCTCATTGTCAGAGGTTGGCAAGTATGATGTCATAAGGTTCTTTAATCAGGTGTTTGGATCATGTTAGGTGCATCACATTACATTTGCTTATGTTAAATTCCATTTTCCATTTCTGTCCCCATTTTGTAAGCATTGTCAGATCATTTTGCAGGATTTCATTGTCATTTTTGGTCTTGATAGGTTGTTAGATGGTTCAATCATCAACGAACAGGCGGATTGTAGATTGCATGTTTATATCAGTGATGTCGTCGATGAAAACTAGAAAAAGGACAGGGCTGAGTACACTTAATACACTACCTTGAGAAGTTGAGATATACCAGATGTAATGCCCTCTTTACCTGAATACTTGCTTTCTAATACAACTGCCTGTGTCCTTTTGTCTAAAAAGGCTGAGATCCATTTGCGATTTTTCCCTCTTACCCCATAGTGTCTTAGCTTGTGTAGCAGGCGTGGATGGCTAACTTTATCAAAGGCTTTTGAAAAGCCTAAGACTATCATGTCTGCATTTTATTGTCCATTGTGAGTGTAAGATCATGTATCAGGCCTGTATTATAAGATGTGTCTCACATGATCTCTTACTTCTTAAACAATGTCATGCGTGTTGGAATTCTGATAGTATTTTGTTTCTTTCTAGATGTTTCATGAGGTTGGATACTACGATGTGCACCATAAGCTTGCAGAGGATGTAGGTTAGTGTGATAGGCTTGTAGTTTGCTGGTTTGTGGCATGGTCCAGTCTGTTTATGTTTGTCCTAGAAACAATGATTTATTGAACAGGAAAGAGACTGTTAGTGCTAGTTCATGATGAAGTACTTTCAGTATGCATGAGTCGAGTTGGTCTGGCCCACTTGCTTTTGTTTGGGTTGAGTTCTTTAATCTGCTTTTTTACTCCATTTCAAGTGTGAGATGTTAATGTCATTAATTGTGTTGTGGTTTACATTTCCTATATCTGGCATTTCCTATATCTGACATTTCAGTCTTCTTTAAACACAGATTGGAATTGGTGGTAATGTGTTTGCTTTGTCAACTATGTCATTTGATGTAAATCTTTGATGTTTTAAGGGTGATGCTCCAGCTGTTTCTTTCCTCATGCATTTTAAAAAGAGAAAAATTTCTTTGGGTTTGGTTTGTCGTCAGGAGCTACTATGTTTGATACATAGTTCCAGTAGCATTTGCGGGTCTCTTTTTGAACAAGATGGTTTAGGTTTTTATCTGGTGTTCTCATTTTTCCATTTTCTCCTGTATTTTTAATTTTATTGTACCATGTGTACAGTCTGTCTCTTTTTCTCATTATCCTACACAGTTCTAATGTTATCCAAGGGTATCCGTGTTGATGTTTCAAAATAGTTCTCTGTGGTATGTGTTTATCAGTCAGTTTATGTAAAATTCCTCCCGCATTATGTTAATATTTGTATTATTTTGATGTATTTTACTAAAGTCATCTCCAAAATTTTTTGCTTCTGTTTTCATATCCTTAAAATTTGCTTTCTTATATTGGTACACTTTTCTTGATGTCTGCATCTGTGGTCATAAAAATTGTAGACACTGCAGTATGTTTGGGTTTTATTGCACCTAATTTTTCCAATACAATTAATGTAATGTTCTTTTACAAAAAAAGTTGTTTCTGCTTAAATTTATATGAACTTAAATCTGTGAGCACAATCATTTTGATGACATATAACTTTGCAGGTTAATTGACTGGTAATGAACATGTGTGTAGTACATGTATTTTTACTTTTTTTTAAGTAGTAAATTTTAAATGGAACACATGTATGAACAAACAACTAACATTCACCATGCATGTGCCAGAAAGTAAACATCATTCTGATGGTTTTCTGTAACTGAAGAAGAGTTAAAGGGCAAAGGCTACAGGGAATAGTGATAATTATTTCATCAAGGCAATGTTTTTTTTACCTCCTTTCCATGTGATGGTTAAGTTAAAGTGACTAAATATTATTGTTATACACATATGCACATTCTAAGTTCTACAATCTGTCGATACCTATATTTTGGCATTGCACAAGGTCATGTTTTTCTCTGACTGTTAATGAAGACTTTACATTAAATCCATTGGATGTTGGATGTGTACTGATTGATATTTTAGTTTTAGATACATGATTATTTTATAAGTTGTTATTGGCGTTGAACTAGCTGTCAGTAACTGCGAGTACTCTCAGATCTGAATGTCGTGTCTATTTTGTTGTGAGGGATGTATAAATTCCCTGCCATTGTCCTGTGTATTTTCCTTAGATGTTTTTCTGCTTTGTATCGATCTGATGGATGAGTTAAGCCCTTTTGAACCGATTTTTATATAGTTTGTTCTAATGTTGAACTGTTATACCACTGTCCCAGGTTAGGGGAGGGTTGGCCCTCCAAACATGTTTAACCCAGCCACATTCTTTATGTGCCTGTCCCAAGTCAGGAGCCTGTTGTTCAGTTGTTTTTTTTGTAAATCATTTTGTTATATGTTAGACTGTTAATTTTCTCACATTTTTCATGTCAGGGAGGACCTTTCATACCTGCCAACCCTCCCGTTTTGAGCGGGAATCTCCCGCTTGCCGGTACCCTCCTGCGCGGGAGTATAGAATCTCCCCCTTTGGGATATTTTAACCTTGAATGACGAGTCAACAGTAATTACGTTTTTGTCTCACTGATTAGGGTTGTAATTACCTGTAAATCACAGACCATGTGAAATTAAATGGCTTCACTTGACAGCTTGGGTGTCAAACATAGTACTAATTAACGATAATTAACGACTTTTGAAGCAAAACACTTCAAAGAAATTTCGGGTTACTTCCCCTGTTTAATCCTGTTTTAAGTTACCCTTCTTAAAATAATGTGAATTGATAAAACAATATAAACTAAATACAAATTAAACAAAGAATCATAAAAGAAGGGCAATTAAAAGATTTTGTATGCCTTAAGACAAAAAAAATAATTATATTTTAAAAATCACTTAAAAGATCTATACTTCTATTCAATGTTTATATTGAAATTAATAAGATATGTATTGAACTATTTTTAGTCAAACAGATAAGAGCACACACAAAATGCACCTGTGACAATATGATTGCTCTCTTATAACTGAGATGTCTGGGGTGAAAGTTGTCTGGAAGTGATTCAAATGTCAGAGTTGATGAAAAGGTATGACCTTTTATAGCCGACTAGACGGTATGGGATTTTTCTCATTGTTGAAGGCCATATGGTTGCCTATAATTGCTTACATCCATTTCATTTGAACTTTGGTGGATAGATGTCTCACTGGCAATCATACCACATCCCCATATTTTCATATTGTAAGAATCAAAATATGTCAAAAATGACACGAGTTGTGAGATGATGGAAAAAATTAGCAGAAACATTAGTTTTATGGTGTGCATGTTCAAAGATATACATTTGTGCTTTAAAATGTAACATCATCTGATTTTGAATTTCAGTAAAGCTGTATCAAGAAGATGTTTTCTAGACCAAAACCTGGGGAATCTGAAGATGATTTACTCAAATTTCAACAAGAATTTCTGGCAAACCAAACAAAAGCAGCTGCTGCTGTTGTGAAAAGAGGAGATAAACGAAAGTCTCAAGATGGAAGTCAATCTGAGGATAAGAGGGATGTTGTTGAATTAGAAGGTTTGTGACTATATTAAACTTTTCTGATATAAAACATTGTATTCAATGACTCACATACTGATCAGATCATTCCGGTACCCATTTATTTGAAGGAAATCTGTCTCATTTTACAAGCTGCTTTTCCAAAATAAGACAGTAATGCATAAAAAAATTGAGCATTAGCATCATAATTATCTTAATGGAGATGGCTAAGCTGCATCTGTATCAGTTTTTGAACACATTTATGTGGAGCAAAATACAAAATGTATAACAAAAGTCAAATTTCAGCTACATGTATTTGTATTTTTCAAACATATTAAACGTCTATGGATGCCAACTTCATAGACATTTTAAACAGTAATCAAACAGAAGTAACCTAAGACCATGCACTAGTAAAAATATTTCTAAACACCAACTTTAATTTTTGTGATTGATAATATTATTCGAAACAACATATCTAGCTGAAGAATATAAACAGAAGCTTTGACTTTATGGCACAATTTAATAGTGATATCATTAAATCGTCATAATAAAAGAGGTGCAACAAGATTTAGCTTATAATAGGAAAATTTTAGGAATATCATGATTTTGGGTAAAGTTAAAATAACAAGGAGCAGGAGTGTTACACAACTTGTTTTTCCTTCCGGCTAGATTTCAATTCCAGTAGATTTAATAGTTCGGTCTTCTCTGTATCTTTTGTTGTATTTCTATGAGATATAATAGGGACCAGCCTCATGTTAATGTGTCTGTCACAAATTAGGAACCTGATCAGTAGGTGTCTATGTTTATAGCTTGTTGTGTCTGTCACAAATTAGGAACCCGATCAGTAGGTGTCTATGTTTATAGCTTAATGTGTCTGTCACAGATTAGGAACCTGATCAGTAGTGGTCTATGTTTATAGCTTAATGTGTCTGTCACAAATTAGGAACCCGATCAGTAGGTGTCTATGTTTATAGCTTAATGTGTCTGTCACAAATTAGGAACCTGATCAGTAGTTGTCTATGTTTATAGCTTAATGTGTCCGTCTTAAATTAGGAACCTGATCAGTAGGTGTCTAACTCTATGTTTATAGCTTGATGTGTCTGTCACAAATTAGGAACCTGATCAGTAGGTGTCTATGTTTATAGCTTAATGTGTCTGTCACAGATTAGGAACCTGATCAGTAGTTGTCCATGTTTAAAGCTTAATGTGTCTGTCACAAATTAGGAACCTGATCAGTAGGTGTCTAACTCTATGTTGATAGCTTAATGTGTCTGTCACAAATTAGGAACCTGATCAGTAGGTGTCTAACTCTATGTTTATAGCTTGATGTGTCTGTCACAAATTAGGAACCTGATCAGTAGTTGTCTATGTTTATAGCTTAATGTGTCTGTCACAAATTAGGAACCTGATCAGTAGGTGTCTAACTCTATGTTTATAGCTTGATGTGTCTGTCACAGATTAGGAACCTGATCAGTAGTTGTCTATGTTTATAGCTTAATGTGTCTGTCACAAATTAGGAACCTGATCAGTAGTTGTCTATGTTTATAGCTTGATGTGTCTGTCACAGATTAGGAACCTGATCAGTAGTTGTCTAACTCTATGTTTATAGCTTGATGTGTTTGTCACAAATTAGGAACCTGATCAGTAGTTGTCTATGTTTATAGCTTGATGTGTCTGTCACAGATTAGGAACCTGATCAGTAGTTGTCTATGTTTATAGCTTGATGTGTCTGTCACAGATTAGGAACCTGATCAGTAGTTGTCTATGTTTATAGCTTGATGTGTCTGTCACAGATTAGGAACCTGATCAGTAGTTGTCTATGTTTATAGCTTGTTGTGTCTGTCACAGATAAGGAACCTGATCAGTAGTTGTCATGTTTATAGCTTCATGTGTCTGTCACCAATTAGGAACCTGATCAGTAGTTGTCTATGTTTATAGCTTGATGTGTCTGTCACAAATTAGGAACTTGATCAGTAGTTGTCTATGTTTATAGCTTGATGTGTCTGTCACAAATTAGGAACTTGATCAGTAGGTGTCTATGTTTATAGCTTGATGTGTCTGTCACAGATTAGGAACCTGATCAGTAGTTGTCTATGTTTATAGCTTGATGTGTCTGTCACAGATTAGGAACCTGATCAGTAGTTGTCTATGTTTATAGCTTAATGTGTCTGTCACAAATTAGGAACCTAATCAGTAGGTGTCTAACTCTATGTTTATAGCTTGATGTGTCTGTCACCAATTAGGAACCTGATCAGTAGGTGTCTATGTTTATAGCTTAATGTGTCTGTCACAAATTAGGAACCTGATCAGTAGTTGTCTATGTTTATAGCTTAATGTGTCTGTCACAAATTAGGAACCTGATCAGTAGGTGTCTAACTCTATGTTTATAGCTTGATGTGTCTGTCACAGATTAGGAACCTGATCAGTAGGTGTCTATGTTTATAGCTTAATGTGTCTGTCACAAATTAGGAACCTGATCAGTAGGTGTCTATGTTTATAGCTTAATGTGTCTGTCACAAATTAGGAACCTGATCAGTAGTTGTCTTTGTTTATAGCTTAATGTGTCTGTCACAAATTAGGAACCTGATCAGTAGGTGTCTATGTTTATAGCTTAATGTGTCTGTCACAGATTAGGAACCTGATCAGTAGTTGTCTATGTTTATAGCTTAATGTGTCTGTCACAAATTAGGAATCTGATCAGTAGGTGTCTAACTCTATGTTTATAGCTTGATATGTCTGTCACAAATTAGGAACCTGATCAGTAGTTGTCTATGTTTATAGCTTAATGTGTCTTTCACAGATTAGGAACCTGATCAGTAGTTGTCTATGTTTATAGCTTAATGTGTCTGTCACAGATTAGGAACCTGATCAGTAGGTGTCTATGTTTATAGCTTAATGTGTCTGTCACAGATTAGGAACCTGATCAGTAGTTGTCTATGTTTATAGCTTGAAGTGTCTGTCACAGATGAGGAACCTGATCAGTAGTTGTCTATGTTTATAGCTTGTTGTGTCTGTCACAGATAAGGAACCTGATCAGTAGTTGTCATGTTTATAGCTTCATGTGTCTGTCACCAATTAGGAACCTGATCAGTAGTTGTCTATGTTTATAGCTTGATGTGTCTGTCACAAATTAGGAACTTGATCAGTAGTTGTCTATGTTTATAGCTTGATGTGTCTGTCACAAATTAGGAACTTGATCAGTAGGTGTCTATGTTTATAGCTTGATGTGTCTGTCACAGATTAGGAACCTGATCAGTAGTTGTCTATGTTTATAGCTTGATGTGTCTGTCACAGATTAGGAACCTGATCAGTAGTTGTCTATGTTTATAGCTCAATGTTTCTGTCACAGATTAGGAACCTGATCAGTAATTGTCTATGTTTATAGCTTGATGTGTCTGTCACAGATTAGGAACCTGATCAGTAGTTGTCTATGTTTATAGCTTAATGTGTCTGTCACCAATTAGGAACCTGATCAGTAGGTGTCTAACTCTATGTTTATAGCGTAATGTGTCTGTCACAAATTAGGAACCTGATCAGTAGTGGTCTATGTTTATAGCTCAATGTGTCTGTCACAGATTAGGAACCTGATCAGTAGGTGTCTAACTCTATGTTTATAGCTTGATGTGTCTGTCACAGATTAGGAACCTGATCAGTAGTTGTCTATGTTTATAGCTCAATGTGTCTGTCACAGATTAGGAACCTGATCAGTAGTTGTCTATGTTTATAGCTTAATGTGTCTGTCACAGATTAGGAATCTGATCAGTAGTTGTCTATGTTTATAGCTTAATGTGTCTGTCACCAATTAGGAACCTGATCAGTAGGTGTCTATGTTTATAGCTTAATGTGTCTGTCACAGATCAGGAACCTGATCAGTAGGTGTCTAACTCTATGTTCATAGCTTAATGTGTCTGTCACCAATTAGGAACCTGATCAGTAGGTGTCTATGTTTATAGCTTAATGTGTCTGTCACCAATTAGGAACCTGATCAGTAGGTGTCTATGTTTATAGCTTAATATGTCTGTCACAGATCAGGAACCTGATCTGTAGGTGTCTTACTCTATGTTTATAGCTTAATGTGTCTGTCACCAATTAGGAACCTGATCAGTAGGTGTCTATGTTTATAGCTTAATGTGTCTGTCACCAATTAGGAACCTGATCAGTAGGTGTCTATGTTTATAGCTTAATGTGTCTGTCACAAATCAGGAACCTGATCAGTAGTTGTCTATGTTTATAGCTCAATGTGTATGTCACAAATAAGAACCTGATCAGTAGTTGTCTATGTTTATAGCTCAATGTGTATGTCACAAATTAGGAACCTGATCAGTAGGTGTCTATGTTTATAGCTTAATGTGTCTGTCACAGATCAGGAACGTGATCAGTAGGTGTCTAACTCTATGTTTATAGCTTAATGTGTCTGTCACCAATTAGGAACCTGATCAGTAGGTGTCTATGTTTATAGCTTAATGTGTCTGTCACAGATCAGGAACCTGATCAGTAGGTGTCTAACTCTATGTTTATAGCTTAATGTGTCTGTCACCAATTAGGAACCTGATCAGTAGGTGTCTATGTTTATAGCTTAATGTGTCTGTCACAGATCAGGAACCTGATCAGTAGGTGTCTAACTCCATGTTTATAGCTTAATGTGTCTGTCACCAATTAGGAACCTGATCAGTAGGTGTCTATGTTTATAGCTTAATGTGTCTGTCACCAATTAGGAACCTGATCAGTAGGTGTCTATGTTTATAGCTTAATGTGTCTGTCACAAATCAGGAACCTGATCAGTAGTTGTCTATGTTTATAGCTTAATGTGTCTGTCACAAATTAGGAACCTGATCAGTAGGTGTCTAACTCTATGTTTATAGCTTGATGTGTCTGTCACCAATTAGGAGCCTGATCAGTAGGTGTCTATGTTTATAGCTTAATGTGTCTGTCACAAATTAGGAACCTGATCAGTAGTTGTCTATGTTTATAGCTTAATGTGTCTGTCACAAATTAGGAACCTGATCAGTAGGTGTCTAACTCTATGTTTATAGCTTGAT